AATTTCAGTGCATCTCTAATTATTGGCGACATCAGAAATTGATATTATATAATAGCTGCTTTTTTGAACATTTTATCAATTTAAAAAAATTAAAAAAGGATTTTTTACATGGCACCCCTGCTCTCGACAGATGGCACCCCAGGGTGCCGCGGCACCCTGGTTGGGAAACACTGGCCTAAGCTATCTAAGAGAAATAAAACACCACAGAAATAAAACACAGAATTGTCTTTGCATGAATTAAATATTCTATACTGATTCATATTAAAGCTAAACTAAAGTTATTCAGTCAAAAGCTGAGTGATTTTCTTTGTATTTTGTTGTTTGAAAAACATTCAAGACAAGACAGCGGGTATATTAGGCTACTGTCACTTTAAGACTTAATGTACAGATCCAATTCACTCACATGCATCCGATTTTATACCAGCTGTTTACCTTACTCAAAATGGACTATGTTTATGTGAACACTAGCCAAGCTGGGCATTTTGACGTGTGTAATTGACAGTTTAAGTGCAATAAACAGCGAAAAGAACGTCAATTCAGCATTTATATGCTGTTTAATGGGTGCTTCGTGTGTGACCTGTCAGAACAGCGTGCGAGTACCGAATTGAGTTGTCTTTCACGTCTTACTGTGCTTGAACAGTTTACAATCACTTGAAAGTTTAAAATGACAAGGCTTATAAATACAAGCAAAGGACAAACTTTCATGGCATTGCATCATTGCAACTTTACATCAGCATAACTGCAATAGAGACGTTATCCAACATTTCTACCATTTGACAAATTTATACCGATTTCTCATGTTTACCGCCCTCACCTATACTGACTACAGTTACACTTACAGTCAAAGAGATGATGAGCCTCAGAGAAAAGTGTGTTAGACAAAAGAAAACGGTTATAGACAGAAGAAAGAGAAAAAAAGACAAGAAGGATAAAGAGACATAAATAATACTGGCAGACATGAGAGTAAGAAGAGAGAGAGAGGAAAGAAGAACTGATAAGACACTGTGGCCAGGCGACAGTGGACAAACAGGTCAGGACATCTGGAAAATGCCCCTGAGGTATTATGGGAATAACAATGTTAGCATTACTTATCCCATTTGAATATAGGTTTCAGAAGGGTTCTCATTAACACCCCCTTTGTGGCTGCTACATGCTTTTAATTTGCCCCTCAACTACAAGACACTATCTCTTAAAGGAATAATGCTCTCAAAAAGGAAAATATGTTTAAAATGTACTCACCCTTAGGCCATCCATGACGAAGAAACAAGCTAGGATGGCTTGAGGGTGAGTAGATTTTCAGCAAATTTTCATTCATGGGTGAACTATTCCTTTAAGAGTGGACAAACACAGCTAATTTGAGAAAAAATCTATCTTGTATTAATCCTCAGAAAGAAGTGTTTGACTGATTTATTTAAGAAGAGAACAAATGAAAGCGTAATGTGAAATGACAGCTCAAGTAACAAGCAAGGACTAAAGAACAGATTTACTGGTCTTGCCTAACCACTGAATACAAAAAAACAACCAAATCCTTCAAGCAGTTACAATGTTTTTCATCAGAAGAACCATATTTTCTTCCCCCCAAGACTCGATTTGACTGCAACGAAAAGAGTGGCAATAAAGTTGCCTCACTAACAGGCCATCTCCTGAGACACCTCTTACATCACAGCGGCCCCAGACAGCAGATCAACGGCTTATCCCCACTTCTCAGTCTCATTTATAATCTGTCCGACATTTAACAGACTGAGTGGTTCGTCAGTTTGCATGGCTTAATTGCATCAGCTGAACCGTAGCTAAGGAACAGCTGGTGTCAATCCTTCCCAGGTAAACTAAATTACCACCAAGCGAGACCGGCACAGATTCCTCAGTGACACTAATTTCAACGGTGACACCTTCTTCAATCACAAACATCCTTCCTGCCTCATTTAGCATTTTTGGTAATTAAGACTGACGTATATGTAAATGCTACACTTTCGGTTTAAACTGTGTAATTTCATCTAATAACAATATTATAGACACACACAAAGACATTGAAGACTAAAATAATGATTGCTGAAAAATCAGCTTTGCCATCACAGAAACAAACAGTTATTTTACATTATACTAATATTTCACAAAATCACAAGATTTTTTTGCATATTTTTGACCAAATAAATGCAGCCTTGGTGAGCATAAGGTACTTATTTCAATAACATTTAAAAAATAACTTACTGACACTGAAATTCTGGACTGTAGTATAAATACAGTATAAATAAATGTCAATAAATAAATAAAATATATAAACCAAACTTACTCCCTTGTAGTTCCCTCATGCTATTCTGAATATTGTTCCACAGCAAGTCCTATTGAGTTCCAGTCAAAATCCTATGAGATCCTCTTTTTCAAGTCACATTTCCCAAAACATCAACTCTGACGAGATTTATTCTGTTTTCCCCCACTCTCCACTTATTTACTGTTGATATGAATGCATTAGAATGAATTGGCA